GTTACACGGAAGAGCGTCGTCCCAAATTACAACGAGGGACTGACCGTGGTACAGGCGACGCAGCTTGAAATATCCGGCTGTATACCTAATGCCGATGACATCATGCTGCTGAGCGACTCCACAAGTGGCCTACTGACACTCACCGAAGGCATGGGCAGCACTGCCATGGGAGTGCGGTTAAAAGTCAACGCCAAGAAGAGGAAAATTATGGCAGCACCCCCCATGACCCTCAATTTGAGGATGCTATGGGTCGTCTATCACAATGGACGAGATGCAACACTTCATTTGCCTCAGAACTGTGCTGGTTAACGATGGCAACATTGATCCTAAAGCGAAACGGACTGGCACCGGAGTCATTTTGACCAGCTGCATGACATTTAAAACGACGGATACGAAGATGACCGTTCTGAAAGTAGCAATATTCTGAGTGCTTTTGCAAAATGTCGAAATCTCTACTGTTCTTTGTCATCATGAGTATCGACTAGACAGTTTCCAGCACACTGCGTATTCTCAAGTGCGATGGTACCACCGGGTCAAGAGTAAGCAGGTGCTGAGACCGTAGCACATGTTTCAGTTTTGTGATATGAAAGAAAGTGATATCATTCCCTTCCTGTCAAAACAAACTCAGAAGGAAATCACGACGCCAGATTAATGCTTGGAGTCTGATGGGAACTACAAGCGCAGCTTGGTAAGCAGCACTGGTCACTTCACAACACACTGAACTACGAAACCAGCCGCCACTTGCTCCAGATGTTTTGTTATTGATTGTTCTTGAAAGAGGGCAAATATGCTATTGCCTTTTACACGGTGACTAATTAACTCATATGTATATGGCGCTGACTTTGGTCTTCTAACAATCTGCATAAGCGGAAGTGTCGGTTTCGTTGCAGTGAATGCCGTAGCGAACTAAGCAGCATTTCAATTCTCCCATGATTCGGGGTTGTGTGCCGGTGGTTGAGGTCGATAGATTCAGAACGCCAGTCGAATACAGCAACCTCATCCTCGCCTCATTCAAGCCTCTTTAATACTTTCATTGCAACTTTCTTTCTTACGGAACTTCGAACAGTGTCACCTGTCACGTGTGTATCTTCTGTCAGATATGACGGGCTCAAGTTTTCTATTAAGTGCACGGAAGCGATCATGTGCAGACCACGTGTAAAGTCAATGAACCGTTTTGATGCACACCGCTTAGTTGAAATTAACGAAACTCGATGGCAGCGCGAGCAAATTTCCCGTACCCTCACTTCGTGTATCATATAAAAGACTAAAATTCATATTTGGAAATAATCAACTGAATATTGTTGAATTTAGGTGCCGGAAGAAACGTTTCGAAAGTACGAATTGGCGCTCTCGGATGACAGATGTGATTGTGGCGAAACTGCACTGGTTGGGTACCTCTGTTTAATGCTTTATGAGGGTGCAGAGGCACACTATAGG